CCCCAAAACCCCAAAACCCCGTTAGTTAGAATCGTGGAAATTTTAATTATTAAATTGAAGAATGTTAATTTTGAGATGATCGGGTAATTGATTTTATATTGATTATATATTAAAATACAGTTAATCTAATAAAAAATTCCAGAATGAATAAGTTATAAAATCAATAAATCACTCAGACTATGATAAGTTGAGATGTGAAAGATACTCAATATTCTCCTTGATAGATATCAATCTAAACACAAGTAAGAATCATCTTACCTTAATCTGCCTGGACGGAACTTCCAGTCAGGAACTCTGCAAAATAATCTGGATTCTTTGAGGTCAAATAATCTTTAGTACGGTTAGGATTTGAATCACCTTCACAATCGAGATTGAAGTTGAATTCAGCTTACTAGTTAAAGACCCCAGTAGTTAGCTCCTAATTAAATAGGTAAACATTACTACTATTATCAGTATCAGTCGTAAAACTTTCTAACACGGCCTCAACTGAGACAGATAAAACAGCTGTAGGACAATGAGTAGTGCTTTGTCCAGTAGACTGAGATCTTACAATAGGGCCTTTGAAAAAGGCTCCCACTATATTGGGGTAACTTGACTTATAAATCACAAAGATATTTTGAAGATTTTAAAATGATGCGTAAATATCCTCTGATGTGAATATGCCTGGGACTACTGTTGACAATAGTTTAAGATTCTAGTAATTATGTTATGGTATGGCAGATTTTAACCAATCGATTTAGTTACTGCTCAAGATTGGTTAGGTCATAATTGTAGGCTTTCCAGGATTAGAAATAACATAATCAGCCACATTTTGTTTGCCAACTTGTGATGACAAACTTAGAAGTCCATTGGAATCGACAATAGCGACTGAAATTTCATTGTAAACTGAAAGATTTATACCCTTGGCGCCATCAACTTTGTACCATTTTTAGGCGACAGTCTGCCATTTAAGCAATTTATAGTCTTTCACATCATTCTCTTCTTAGAGAGCCCACAAGGAACCGTCGA